GGATCGTTGGGGATTCAGGGAAGGGGAGGGTAATTGGGCCTCCGGTAACCTCAATCACATGACGAAACACAACGCAAGCGTTGCTTCACGTCGGTTTTCTGTCACTCCGGTCGAGCCAGCCCATTCGTGGCGAAGTATGGCTCTCCCACACTTCTATAGACGAAGCTCATAGACTAGCGGCAAAAGAATTGAGATGGGTTGTTGATGGTGAATAATACAGATAAATATGACTTGCAAAATATAGAATACGTATACTTTAAATGACAAAAGCTAGTCACGTACTACGCTCTTCTTAAAAAAGTGCCTACAATCTGTGAACAAAAACTGCCGCCCCTCCTCAATCGGAAATATTTTTCCGTTCAATTGATCATGCAAAATTTTTCTAACAATTTAAATTCCTATACCGTCATTGTGGAGCGCTCATGTATACGTAACACGTTGATAGAGGGCCAAATTCTTTTCTTATACAGATTCGCAATTGAGAAAAGTGAATTTGATCATTTATTGAAGAATGAAGCGATTATTGAGATGAATTTTGGCCTATTTAGGCTCCATTGTTTAAATTTGTGTCTTATATTGTCTTTGCAAGTATGAAACACTCCTTAGAACTTTGAGAAATAATTTTATTGTATATAGTTTATACGATTCGGAATAACCCAAAGCCCAAATTCCTTTACTAGGTAATTCACTTGACTCCTTTTGCTGTTGCCAGTGTCCTTAGGCGGCACTGTTTGCTTACCATCAGGGTGCTTATGATCCGCTTGCTTAGTTGCCCCTATTTGATAAAAAAACTCGGCAATCTCTTTGCAATCGCCTATAGTCAGGAACAAAACGCAACTCAAATATTACTTAGATCCTTTTGATAATAGGGATGATGACAGGGAATGAAAATTAAAAATCTAATTAGTCCGTCATTTAGGTAATGTAAAATATTAGACACGTATTTTTTATTTTGATGCGTAATAAAAAGATACTTAGATATAACGAATCAAAGTTTAGGAGTGGGGGCTAAAACGTCATTTCTACGTAAAAAATGTACATAGAAGTGACGTCACGCAACATTTCAAATCAATATATCGTCGAAAGTATTCGTTTCTGAACAACAATAAAAAATACATGTGTAATGTTTTAAAATAATCTACCAGACGGACATTAAAATCAAAATAAGTCATCTACCTTATTATCATAACCATCAATTATTTCCAATATACAATAATACGGAAACATAACAACAATACATTAAATCCTGACCACCCAAAAGGGGACCAATTCCATCTCCATAACTCAATCTCTCGTCACCTTTCTATAAGTAACACAACAGTTATAAATATAAAAAGATTTTACTTCTATTACAATTTACGACCACAACTAAGTAACTCATTCACAAATTGAAGTTTAAAAATATTTCTTAAAATGTGTCCGTCTAAATGGTTACTATTTATAGTTGTACACATTTTTATATTGTATATTGGTGTAGGTTCGACGTTGTTTGTGTTGGTATTGGGACGAAGAGTTCATGATTATGAATGTGGGTTTGTGATCGTAAATGTGGCTAGGGCATTCCCTAATTGCGCATTTGCAATCTTTTTGTGGGTTTTCAATATCGATATTCTCCAAATTAGAAATTATTTTATTGAGTCACTGGAAAAAGGTGTTCAGTCGAATTTCCAAATCAGAATCAGCCTTTAGCCACTTTAGCGCTTGTCTACAGAGAATACAAAACTAAATGTATGGGGATGACACTGTCAGTGTCAAAATTTACGTCAATTCCATATAATTTGGTTTTCTATTCTACATGTAGACAAGCGCTAAATGGCATTTGGCTACAGCTGCAGATTACATAGGACTAAGAAATAACGAATAGCGTTAGTTGTACCGACCTTACTATTGTCCGGTTATCCACATCCAAAGTATGCAGAAATGTACATATCTTCTGAAGCCACTTGCAACGTATCGTACTCAGTACACCAGGAAGCGTAATAATATGACGCACGGTAAAAACAACAGAATATCTTTTTTATGGGATAAGCCGGTATGACGAATCACCTGATGGTGAGCAATCGGCGTCACCCATGGACACCTGGAGCACCAGAAGCGTTACAAGAGCGTTACTAGCCTTTTGGGATTAGGAATTTGAGGATTGTTGGGGATTGAGGGATTGGGAAAAGAAAAGAGGGAATTGGGCCTTAAATAAAACAAAAATACGATTATTACACAAATATTTATTTCCACATAGACATGAGTTACACGAAAGTTACGCTAATAAAAGGAATCACAGATAAAGTACATAAGACTAAACAAGTGTCGCTAACTAAACATAAAAAAATCATATATTACATTTGCAAGTGATAATTATTAAATTTAAAACACATATAAAATCACAGTCCCCCACCCGTTTGCATTTAGGTGCGGAATTCATGGACGTTGGGACCCGTATAGACACGATAATATAGACACAGAAAAATATTAGATTACATTCACTTAAATCTATGAGAACCGCTAACACTTACATGCTCACAATATAGGAGTGGTACGGCATTACAGCAAACAGAGAGACTACTCTCTAAGAACGGCCCAAATGTGACGTCACGACAAAAATATGCCAGTACACGAATTCCTCACAATGGGCATCATTAAGATTACAACCAGTGTCACATGCAAACGGGCTGTCAGTAAAAGAATCTTATCACAAAAATAAAAACGGAAAAAATTAGAAAAACCTTGAGATGAACTGACATAAGCGTTTGATAGCATTGACATCAACTTTTCCATCGTATTCTGTTACAAATTTATTTATTTTCGAGAAATAAATTCCGTCCGTTTCTCTATCACAGCATTCGAAATCCTCTTAAATACTCGAATCGTTAAAATACCTTGTTTTCATACATTCAGTAAGAGTGTCCCTCAAGGCACTCTATTAGCACACAATTTTCAAACTCATTCCTTTGAAGAAAGGTTAACATACATAACAGGGCATAATTTGTTGATGTTCTACAGCGTGGTCGCACATTGAAATTACTAGAACCAAGAATAAAATGTACTAAAACTTGGCACATAATATAGCTACACAATTTTGCGTCGGCAGTCGAACAAAGTTAAAATTAAAGAGATGCATTCTAAATAAAATACAATTACTGAAAGATATTTGTTAACACACAAACAACATCAGTAAGAGAGCTCAGTCATTTATGAACTACATTCATAATTATATTAAAGCATTAATACACTGGAACGAAGCCAGAGGTTGACTAGCACAAACCATAAATAAAAAATCAGAACACAACATTTTTGGCTAATTAAGTAACGTCACTAACCATAGTGAATTTTAAACTAAATAAGGAAATTATTATTAAAATTAAAATGAAGATAAAAGCAGTCAAAGGCGTCCACGTTTTAAAACATCAGCTTACAAAATCCAATGCGTTATTAGGTTTGTTGAATTACATATTTTTTCCGTCTAGTTCTAATCTACAACCATAGAAAAATAGATAAATAGACTCACATCAAAAAGTGTACAACATTATCAACTCTAACGATCTAAACGCGTTTACTCAAACATTAGAGAAAAATGTCTATACTGTTTTAGTAAAAGCTGAAACTACTAATTTTAATATCGATTATTAAAATATATGGGTGTTCGCCACGAGGGGCCGTGCAAACTATGATAGATTAAATATATTAATGGTGTTGCTAATCAATTGAGTTTCTACTAATACTCTAAAATACTGCGAATAAAATTACGTAGAGTGACTAGTATTTTTATGATGTATTTAAAATTTAGCCTTAAATATAATGAGGCGAAAGATAAAGTTGAGCGCATATCGAAATTGTGCATAGACGAAACATAAATTGAAAATTGGGAATGTTTACGAAACATAGTAATACAAAGCAAGGAATCGGCAATAACGAACGAGATGGACAAATTAATAACAATAATGAAGCTATCGATGAAAAAGTGCGTCGAAATGACACCAATTTTGCAAATGCCAACTGCTTTACTGCAGAATTTGTTGGGGACACTAATGAAGGAAATCGAGTACCATTAAGTACTGACCGTGCGACGTGAGCAAGAATTGGCACAGAAATGAATGGCACAAAAGGGAGCAAATATACCCTGATGGATGATAAGCATACGACGACTCGTGAAGTAAGTACACAATTAAAATCAAACTTCAAAAAGTTCAATATAGGCAACAAAATAAAACTAAAAAAATATAATCGATACAAAGTACCGGTGGCGGTAGATAGTAATACATTTTGCAAGTAAATGTGTCAACAGATGTGCCTAGAAATATTCTAAGCAAATATTGCATTGAATTGCAAAGTCCAAACAAACTAGCTAATTTAATATTTTGAATAAAGTCCCTTTATATCAATACAATAAGATTAATTTCACATTGAACAGCAAAAATGTTCTAAACCTACTCGTATTACGATTAATGACTCAAAAACAACTAAGAAGAGAACAAACTATTACACAAATGCAAGAGATTATGTCTTTATATAGTTGCATTACTTTAGCTAAATGTGATGATAGTACGATTAAAATTACCAAAGATCAAATGGATAAAATTCTACTTAAACACCAATTACATTGTGCTTTTAAAAATGCGAATGATCATCCCTTTACGATTGCAATCAGCCATCAAATTTAACTTTAACCAATCAAATGCATAGCTAAAGCCACGATATCATTTAAACCAAGCTCAAATACCAAATCATACCTCCATTGATTAGCAAAACCCTTTACATCACCCAGCTATGAATGATCATTTAAAGAGAAACATCAAATTGGAGTACTATAATACTAAGGTTAGGCCTTCGTATAATCGGGATACTATTTGGGATGAATAATTTAAAATGTTCGACGAGCCAGCTGGCCAGTGTCGGCTAACCCGCGTAGACGCTCACACGTTTGCTGAATGCATCGTTACAAATATGATCAACATTTTCATTCTGATTGTTTCCAGACTTTACATAAACATTCTTGGAACTTCTGTCTACTTGTCTTTGTTCTTACCTTTCTTTGTGCGTCCCTGCTTGATCACTTGTACCAGTTTTATCTTTTGTGCACATGGGCTCTTCATGTAGTCCTGCAGCATCTGTTAGAGATATGTTACAGTTTAGTTTAAGTCTTACACCATTAATATAGTTTTACTATTTCTCATTATCTTTAATATCTTCAATAATTTTGTAATAATTGCTATCGTTTATTCTACATTAATATTTATCATATGTACTTGTTCCAATTTACACTACGTAATTACGTTCCGTCCTCATTATCATTTATGTTTAATCATAAAAAGTTAATAATTTTACAGGTGTAAACCACGCAATTGCTATTATGTTTCATACTTGCTACTGAAATCTCAGATACAAGTATCTTAGATTACTGTTAAAATTATAACATCAGTTCAATGCTTTGTGTGTAGAATGGGAAAAGCGCATTGGATTTGAACTATGAATATTATTTAACCTACTCATACAGTCAAAACAAACTAAAAGTCAACAACACTTCTTTCTCAATAATTGGCCGTGTTAATCAACCTATATGAAATAAAAAAATTCACTATGACATTTAGTAATTACAAGAGTAACATCAATGGCGAGTTGTTTGCGACGAAACGATGGCGCGACGTTATTGGAATTATTAATACAAAGCGCCGTGTTACGGAAGACTCGTAAAACGTGTTGACACCTGTTTTTGGATATAAACATTGTGTAGGAAAATGGAAAAGGACCACTCGGTCGTCATTGCGAAAAAAATTATTATTCTGATTAGATGTGAGCGCTATACGTATATATAAAATGTTAATGGAGACCTATCATGACAGTTGATATCCTATGCTTTCCTATGTAAGCTCGTTAGGATTACGTACAAATTAATGTTATTATTTGCCTGCCTGTCAATAGTAAGTATAGTTTTCGTTTTTATTTTTATATTTCACTTTATTATCCATCTCTCGGTCAAGAACCAAAATATTTTAATCATCATTTACATCGTGTCAATCTGCATTTAACATTTTGCTTTAATTTACCGACTAATAATTGCTGTGTAAGTGTCACATATGCCCGAATATTGAAACACCAGTCAATTTTAAGTCGCGGTTAAATATAGTGCTGTCACTACTTGTTATTTGTAAAATGACATAGATTTTTATGAGGGTGGAATATCATCGAATGACTGCTCCCGCCTAGGTGAGGCGAGAGGTGTCAGACTCTTACTGACTGATTTTTATCACCCCGTTCCTACTCCTGCTTTTCGAGCCGGAGCCCCGGTAAACCGTCTCCGCGGCTCCATCATCCTTATTGGGCCCCATTTGTGATGGTCTGATGGCTCTTTGAGACGCGCTTCTTGCGCACAAAATGACGGAAATAGCACGATATTTAAGTACAACTTAAAATTGTGTAGCCTTCCAATGTTCTTCATTGTCACTTTTCCCTTCTGCGGTCTATCTACCCTGTGCAACTTATTTCACTTGTCAACCGTATATATAATGTAGAAATGCAGCTGCGTCGGAACGCCACAGTGTAGTGTAACCCCATCAAATATGCAGTAGCACAAATTGGTTCACTTCTGTTTTGCAATTACTACCAGTAAATACATTGTCGAGTTTGTTAACATTGTGTCCTATTTGTTTGGGCGGCCTTACTGGGAATAGAAGTTGTCTTTATTCTTACTAATGTTATAAAGACGAAAGTGTGCTAGTTTGTCGTTTTCTTGCCCTCGTAAGCATGAGTGTTTTTGCAGCCCTTTTGAGAGTTCATCAAATAGGGCGTGTCAAGCTTTAATCTTATTTGCCGAAATGTAAGAGAGAATATCTTTGGATTCGGTTGCTTAATCAGAAAGAACTGCATTCAACAAAAAAGAAATTTGTATATGTCACTTTTTCCCTTCCAGGCGAGCGGAAAGCTGATTTTAGTATAATACAGCCAGAATTACCATATTAATACTATAAAACCCACTCTCAAATATAAAACCAATAATCAAATTCAACATCTACTTACTTGCATGCTGAGCTCCGAAGACATAGCGCTGGCTACGGCTGGTAGCTCAGATAATGCCACCAGCGTCGGCAGCAGGCAGTCACTCTGTGGCTTGGAGACCAGCCAGTTAGCTGGCAGAGTGCACAGCGTCTTGATAACACTCCATCCGTCACATATTGTTTCCTAGATAATTAAGTAATTGATTCATATTAAAAAGTATTAAGCATTAAGGGCCGATTTTTCCAACGCTATATTAATTTTAACTGAGGAAGAATGGAATATTTGAGTATTCTTTCATACTACATATTGTCAAATGTCAGTTTATTCAATAGTTAAAAATTAACTGACGATTGAAAATTGGCCCTTAGTCGTATTTTTCCTAAAGGAGCATATTGCTCCTAGTAAAATTCTACTAGTTCATAGTTAATAGCTACATTTTCACTTATAGGGCAGATACAGTATTATACCGTTTAATAGATAGTCAAAATGACAAGACACTGACAAAATTTCATAACTCCGATTTAATTCTATATCAGTAAACTTATGGTTCCAGTAAAGTATCAGATAACAATAATCAACATTAATTTAAAAAAACAATACAGTATAAAGTAATAAATTAATGTCTGAAACAATTCATAATTACCACAACATAATATTTTTTTACACAAAACACTAGACTACTTAAAACAATTACCAATTAACTTCCGAAACACAAAAAGTCGTTAAGCGTATAATGTAGAACATCAACAGTAGACTACGAAGGCATCGCGAGTATAAATTGTAGAGTAATGGACGGAGGGCAGTCGCCAGGACAAATGGGCACCGAACAACAAGATAACACCTGGGTCCTTTCTAATTTATAATTTACTAACGCTTGTTAGAGAATGTCGGAGTAATTCCTGAAGGAGAGGGAATTTGTTTGTTTCCTTGTTGTCTCGTAAACAGGGAAAATAGGATATATCTTTTTTATTTTCTTCTCAAGAAACTACAATTGTATATCGCACCATTGTAACCTTTACACTCAATAATGACAACTGTTATAAAATCGCTAACAATATCAATTTCATAAGAAATTTAGCTGGACATAATGAAACAAGTTGGCTTCTATGACCAATAAACAACAACAAAATATTATAATAGAACACTTTACTCAAAGACCAAGAACCAATTATGAACAAAATAAAAAAGTCGACGCATAAATTTTCCTAATGGCCCCAGGACACTTCCTTGAGCAACCCCGTCCGATGTCACTCGGACACCTGTGTCCGTGAGAACTTCGGCCAAGTAAAACTGTTGTAATGAGCCCGTGGAATAATTTACAAGGACCTGAGTGCGGTATAATGTGTTCAGAAAGAAAGTTTTCGATGATTACCGGTAAGTAATCGTGTCGAAAGCTTCTGTTGGGTATTAAATATTCAAATACATAGGTAAATCTGAATAAACAATAATAAACTTTAGTAAAACAAAGAAAGTTTCTGAGGGTCATACATAAATTAAACTAAATATATGCTATCGAAAATAAATAAAGGGTCATAAAATAAGAAGACATCTTCCACAAATTAAATAAACAAACATTGAAAACTAACACATTCTGCCAATTGATGCCACTAATAATTATGATGCTAACCATCAAACACATACACAGACCAAAACTATTAAAAAACGACGCCCAAAGGACATCCTATACATATCAAAAGCAAGCTAGAAAAGTTCCCACAAACCGATATCTTAATAGATAAACACAAGACAATAGAACTGGTTGGCTCGATCGATTACGTTGACCATGTAAACGGTGCTAACGCGCTAACCGATGGGGTATGACACGTGTTAACGCAGGTGTAGCCCGCATGAGAACTTCCTAATAAAACGGACGAGGAAATTATGCGAGACGTTAGTTGTTAGAGGTCAAGTGTATTAGTTATTGTGACTTTTAAACCAACAACGGAATCCATTGGTTGGTTTACAAATTAAGATTAATTTGGTCAGGGAAAATCATTCAACCTTCTATCGCCTGGGTGAAGCGAGAAGTGTCAGACTCTTACTGACTGTCCCTACTCCAGCACTTCATCAGAAGTAACACTTGGAAACGTAAAACATAAAACCATGTTCAGTAAATTCAAAAAAAAAGATTTTAATATAATACTAGAAGGTAACTAAAGGTTCCAAATAAAGTATTAAAACTCACCTGTAATTGTGGATTGTTGACGACAACAAATCCGACTAGAACGATCAAGTCCAACACCATCGTTTCGGAGAGAGTCTGGTCAAGGCGCTGATTGTTCGTACCTGAACGAAATTATATCATGTTAGTATATTTTTCTTAAATTGATCACAAGTTCGTGTTGTTTCTATTTTAACGGTATTTTACCATTTAAAGCACACACTACTATTTTATATTTAATTACTTTCTTTAAAACCCTTATAATTTCTAATTGTAAGTTTGTAATCGCCAACCCGCATGGAGCAAGCGTGGTGATTGATACTCAAACCTTTGTGTGAGAAGAGGCTTTGCTCAGCAGTGGGCATTTATAGGCGTTTATGTTAACGTCTATTGCAAAAACATTCGTCAACACCTGTTTAGTTATCTAGACGTACTTACAAGCCATTGAATACTGAATTCATTGAGTTACAAAAGTACAAATACCACCACTAAATAGTACATAACAAAGTCGCTTTTTCTGTTTGCTAAGGTCTTTAAAACTACGCAACGGGTTATGATGCGGTTTTGTTTAATAAATAAATTCAAAAGAAAGGTTTATATGTATGATACATGCATATAGTAGAGAAGAACCTTGCGAAGCCGGGCGGGTCGCTAGTTACTTTATACCTTTAGATGATTTTTGCTTACGTAAAGCCGTAGTCCTTGGCGCTTCTTTGTCGGTGGGTGCATGCTGAGATAGAAGTCGCGCAACTGCCGCTCTGAACTCCAGAGGCCAACCGCCTTCGCCGAAGGCGTCCTGTTGACGAAATTAAAAACATAAGTATCCACATCGTACCCACAATTGCTTCAGAACCTTTCTTAACAATCACATAAGTTTAGCTAACTTGTTAAGTTATTTTAACTTGATTTAGATAGGATGAGCTTATATAGTTTTCGAAATTCTAGGTTACATAACATAATTTAACGCCTTATATCCCGGAAGGGGTGGCAGAGGTGCACATTACGGCACTAAATGCCTCTGAACAATAAAATACCCGCTTATCATTATTTATGTTATGAGTCCCATGTAATAGGGGTGAGCATATTGCCATATACCGGGCACAATTCGAGACTCCGTGCTACCACTGAGAATTTTTTAAAAACCCAGTAGTAATTTGCCCGACCCGGGAATCCAACCCGAGAGCCCTTGCCCGGCAGTCGCACTTGCGACCACTCGGCCAACGAGGCAATCTAGGTTACATTTTGAATTATACTTGATTTTTGACAATGAAGTTGCCATTAGACTTTTATTTTAAATTTGAAGAGCCGACGTTTGGCCACAATCTCGCACAGTGGATTTGGAATTATTTGGTTGGATTATTGGAACAAACATCGGGTGAAAAGTAATACTAAAAAATGATTTGAGATCAGTTTCAAAGATTCAATTTTATTAAAAGAGCTCTCCTGTCAGGAGCATCGCTATATCCCAAAGAAACAAAATGGATACACACGAGTCCAGATGAACATAAAACAAGGACCCACGGAGCATGACGTTACAACTCCCAAGTTAAATGAGGGATGACCGTCAGCCAGCGAGCGTACAATCCGTGCGGTAAGTGCAAAGGTCACGCAAGCTCTGATTGAGTTACTAACTCTTGGAGATGTGGACTGACCACGCACTGAGGGTACATAATAAAAGAGTGGGCAGCCAAGATTTGTGGATGGTAACGTTGTTATGAAGTTGGGTTAGAGGTTCAATGTATTTAGACGTTTCTTTAGAATCACGTCTTTGGTTCTTTGGATTTGTTTTCAACTTGTAACGAGTAAAAGGCTCATTAATATTATCCTGAGAAACATCTACGGAATATTATGTGTCTTTATTTTCACGCGTGTAACGAAAAATGAATATGACATATACGTACATATCATAACATCGCGCCTTTTGTCCCCGAAGGGTTACGCAGCGGTGTACATTATGCCTACTTTTCACTAATTATGTTATGAGTCCCATGTAAAATGGGATGAGCCTATGCCGTATATTACTGAGTATTTTTTTAAACCCAGTACAACTTTGCCCGGCCCCGGAATCGAACCCGAGACCCAATACCCGAGACCCAGGCCAAAGAGGCAGTACAAATACGTACACTTGAATACATATGCAAGAACGTATTCGTAAAAAGAGTATCTTTAAGATATCAAGAAAACTTCAGTATTTATACAGCTCTTTCTCTCTCACTCTCTCTGTCTCGCTCTCTTCAAACCGAAATCGATCGAAATTAAACTCACAATCAACCAACTAAAAACCGAACTCACATTCTTCAAAACACAACAGCACATCATCTATCCGCTAACAGAAACCGCAAATAAATAATATCTTCAATACAAACGTGTACCCATGTGCGTAATAAACTAATAATGATGTTTATCTACGCCATAGTATTACAAACAGGAGTCCCATGGCGCATCGTTTGCGGACATCAAAAGTTTGAGGTCCACTGGGAGAGGGGAACTTTAGGGAGTGGATTGAAAAGAGAGAGTTAATTAATAAATCAAAATTATTGGCTTTGTAGTAGATAGATGTGTGTTTAAGTATGTCAATGTATTGTTTAGTTGCTGATCAGGGATTTGTAGAAGCAGAGCTTTGTGTCGAAAATGAACTGGGGAACCTTCATAGAGGATTTTTCGTATTAGATGTTTTAAACACGGACATTAATGAACCTGAACATGCTGCAATAATTCAGTAGTGAGCTAAAGGAGAGGTGTACCTTCAGTAATGAATGGACACAGTATGACAATGTTCACTAAAACGACGATGACAAACGTCAGACTTGACTGAGTACGGTCAATAGTAACATAACATAACATCACGCCTTTTATCCCCGAAGCGGTAGGCAGAAGTGCACATTACGGCACTTAATACCACTGAACCCCCATGTTATGAGTCCCATGTAATAGGGGGTGAGCCTATTGCCATATACCAGGCACATTTCCAGGCTCTGTGCTACAACTGAGAATTTTTTAAAAACCCAGTAGTACCTACTTTGCCCGACCCAGGAATCACACCCGAGACCCCTTGCCCGGCAGTCGCACTTGCGACCACTCGGCCACCGAGGCAGTAAGGTCAATAGTGTACGGCAACAATCGTTTTGTAAACGCATCGATAACATACAAACTAATCAAAAAATAAAATCGAAATCAAATTCAAAAGCGACAGTCATTCACTAGACCAAACAAGAAAACTGCAACACACACAAACAAAGGCCCAGTGTTCCATTTAAAAAAAATCACGTCCACATAGGCGCGCCACCTAATCCATTAACAGAGGTAGGAGTATCGATTACGTGGCATCAACCTCCCGGGACCGGCCATTAGCGTACACAGCCAGCAGTGGATGGCTATATAAACATTAATACCGACGCTTTTAGGGAGACTCGGGTTTCAAATCTATTGTTAGGGTCTTTGGAAGTATGAATAAAATATATTTTTGCAGTTTTTCGATTGTGGGTGATTTTGTTTGATTAGTTGAGATGGTTTTTATATTCACTTATGCATCTGGACAATCAATAGTCGGTATATTTTTTAGATTGCCTAAGTTTAGGTTCAACCGTTAGAACCCCAATGAGCAATAAACCAAGCGGCCTATTTGAATGTCATCGGGAGAAGCAATGGCTCAGCAATGGATATCTTGTGGATGATATTACAATGATCCCTTTTGATTTTAAATCGAATCTTTTAAATAAAACCTTTCTTGGTGTTGAGTTGGATTCCCATATCCGACAAAGAATCATTGGGATTTTCGAATTTTCTAGAAGTTCAGTACTATGAAGGTTACATATTGTAAACTGGCGAAAAGTGGATATTACATTTAACATACACACATCTGTACTTTTAGAAAATAGGTAAGAGATATGATTATATAACAAGAACCGACCAATTCCCAAACTAACAAAACAACAACAATAATTAAATTCAGCAAATAATTCGCGTACCCTTAAAATTGGCACAGTTTCAAGTGATTACATAGAGAGCGGCACGTGGCGTCGTAACGAGCGCCGCTAAGTGAGGGTAGTTGTAAATGTTAATGTTTACATTAAGGGCATCTAGTGTAAACTTAGTATCATTGGAATCTCCAGGGGTTTGAGATATGTGTGTAGTGTGTACTTTGTTTTTGTTTGTAGTATGGTCTTTTAATGGTGTTTTTATTTTGATGACTAGGTTGACGCAGTTACGCAGTATTTTTTTTAAGGGGAGAAAATCATCGAATTACTGTTCCCGCCTGGGTGAGGCGGGAGGGAGTGTCATACTCTTACTGACTAAAAACCACCCCGTTCCTTCTCCTGCACGTCGAGCCGGAGCCCCGGCTACCCGTTAGGTTCTCCGCGACAGTTACGCAGTATAACGTGCCACTAGTGCGATCGAAGAAGTCAGATATCTACAACAAAATGGAAGTTAGAAATGCTATACTGTACTAGGAATAGGTCTCGCGATTACCAATGATTAAAACCTCAATATGGTAGAGCTCAAAATTGGCACTGGCAATGATCTTATTCTCAATAGCAGTGGTCTCATTCTTATACGGGGTGTTTGGCGCATAGACCGACACAATTTTTTCAGGGATTGGACCTCCCAAAGTTATTAGCTACATTTTACCCGAAAACCCTTCTCCCGCCAAGCACCCTGTATGGACATCAATGAACTGGAATGGAAATCAAAATATTCAAAATATCTAGATCAACCTAAGTTTTGAACAGAAGCTCCATATAAAAATTTGTAGACTGAGATCCCTTATGAATTTCAGCGAGTCAATAATATTGCAAATAAATTAGCTATCAGGAACCTAGTTAATGCTGTAGTTCAATCTACACGTACCAATTCCTTCAACATTCCCTCGAAAACCTCCAACATCACAGGACAAGAAGCAAGGAGTATTTACAGTAGAGACTGCAGCAGCAGCTCAGCAAACAATCGCAAGTAATGCAATGCAAACAATTTGTTTAAAGTACGGCACTGCGGGGAGCGAGCACGTGGCAGCCGTGGCACTGATTCAAGTAGTTATTTTGTGAGTAGATACGGTGGATAGAATTTAAGATGTCTTTGATGATGAATCTTAGAAAAAAACATAATTATTATTGTTGATTAACGACACGTTTTAATCACTACATAGTATAAAACAAAGTCGCTATCCGCCGTCTGTCTGTCCCTATGTATGCTTAGATCTTTAAAACTACGCAACGGATTTTGATGCGGTTTTTTTATTAGATAGAGTGATTCTTAAGGAAGTTTTATATGTATAATACATGCATATTGCTACCGTGGGAAGCCGGGGCGGGTCGCTAATTGCTTATAAAAACAAACACTATAGAACACTAATTACGATTGGTACAAAAATGATATAACATCTTTAGTTTTACGTCGAACATTCTGATCAAACTGAGTGCCTCGTTGGCCGAGTGATCGCAATTGGGACTGCCGGGCAAGGGGTCTCGGGTTCGAGTCCCGGGTCAAGCAAAGTATTACTGGCCTTTTTCAAAAAATCTCAGTAGTAGCACGGAGTCTGGAATTGTCCCCGGTATATGACAATAGGCTCACTCCCTATTACATGGGACTCATAATATAAATAGTGAAAAGTAGGTGTTACATTGTACAGTGGCTTTAAGTGCCGTAATGTACACCTCTGCCTACCCCTTCGGGGATAAAACGCGTGCTGTTATATTTTATGAGTGTTCTGATCAAACAATAACAATCATCCAGATCAAACAGTAACAATTTAACAAAGTAGAACTAAAAACAGACTTGTGCAAAAGAATTTGTAACACTGTATTGGATATTGCGATAATTATCGAATATGGCGGCGCGGCTGCAGCGTCTCGCCTCGCGTGAGATGTCATCGTTAGTCGTATGTTGTCACAACGCGTGACCATCGATGTTTACTGAAGCGAAACCGTCACAATGCCGCCACGTGTTTTGGCCAGACGCGATTATCTGTATTAGGGTTAGCGATATTAAACTGTCAAACACCGCGAGGACACCGGTGACCGCAACCTATTGTTCTATAATTGTGTCTATAATGCCGGTACTCACAGGGTTAAGGGCAGTTTTTGTGCAAAATTGGTTTGATTTGTTCAGTTAATCCTGATCGAGTGGTCACCATAGGTTTTATGTTTGTTTTCCAAATTAGGGAAAACATCGTTGCTTTTGATTACATCATCAATTTGTGTTTTACTTTTTGCCATCAAAACCAAGTGATGTATTTTTACTTTTAGGGAGTAAAAAGCAAGCAAGGTCTTGTATACTCTCATGGAAGACAGGGCATGGAGAAAACCAAGACAGGTTCCAGGTATTCAGATCCAGCAAGTTCATTATAATCCAAACGTTATAAATTTCAAAAAGTCCTGGTCCTTATCCCATTTCAAATTAGCTAAGATTAAAACAATTTCACGTATATATTTCTCACAATGTGACATTTAAACATAATATCTTGGACAATAATAGCTGTAATTAGCAATACGGGAGTATCTACACCGATCACATCGAGTGTCAGTCACTATTTATTGAGGCGGGGCGCGAACAATGGTGACACGTGACTTTGGGACATTGCGAATTATTGTTATGGACATTACATTAACGTGTGGGATTCAGTATTTAAATGTTCAAGGAGTATAAAATGTTAATTTTGAAAGAATACATTACTCAAGCTAGCTGCTCAATAAAATCAATTTAACACTAGACAAAAGTTGGTGCTCAAAAATGGTATTAAGCAAGACACATACATTTTTTTTATGATTGGTGGGACGATGATTGGCCACTCGTCTAGTGGTAAGCGATGATGCGGGCTATTTAGTCGGGCCTTGTGATTTATACAATAGTTAATTTAGGAGATTTGCTATTTTCTGTTAACCGCATGCATACCAAAAACCCATAGAAAATAATCTGGAAACAACTTATGCTCAGTAATCACTAACCAAAGCTCAACAAAACAGTTAATGTCAAATTAACTGAATACCACCACATAGAAGACAAAACCGAAAAAAATATAAAACCACACCACTACATCACAACACAGCGACGAAACAAAAAAATAATCAAAACCCTAATTCAAGATGAAACCAAACAGAATTCTCATTCACAAATATGAGGTAATAAACGGCAAACACAGACAGATAGAATATGTATAATGAGTATGCAGTTGAATATCAATACAAACAACGCGATGGGTTTCCAAATCAAAGTCTTTGAGTAGAGGTAACCGATGGCAGTAGCTTTAAGCTTGAAGTAAGCGTACGAGTAACGTGAAACGATGGCACGAGTGTATTGTGTACGGAGTGTGTCGTGCGAGAGGTAATTTGATGAGGTGGATATGGCGGTTTTGATTTGAAAATTTATGATTTTAATGCCCTTATGACAAGATTATTTAGACGCCACTGACAAACTGTGAAAGAAAGCATAATGAGAAAAATTGAGCTCATAACTACTAAATATAAGTTTGAAATTGCCAACCCGCTTTGAGCAAGCGTGGTGCTTAATGCTCAAACCTTCTCCGTGTGAGAAGAGGCTTTTGGTCACCAGTGGCCACTGTGGCTGTTGATGAGAATCATGGCATAGAAGACAATAATAATGTACCCCACAATGTAAAAATGAATGTTGAAAATAGCATATTGCCAATTGTCAGAATGAGAATATCATTCTGGTCCGTTTTGTCTAAAATAAAACAACAATATTTTCAAATCAAATCAAAATCATTTATTTCAATTAGACCAAGAAGGCACTTTTGAACGTCAAAAACCACATCAGACTTTTAACGTGTTGGTAAACTCATCTTTCAATGTCACATCTTAAATAACTTCAAAATTAGACGTCCATTTTTCAGTCGATAATTAGGATTGCAAAAAAAAAGGAAAATTCACCGGTATCATCGGAAAATAGTACCCAGTCGATGCCTGGGCGAACCGTTGGTATAAAATAAAGTATCAAATGTCTCCTCCGACCCATTGTACCTCATACCTCCGTCCAGCTACCGCACACCGCTCTCATCGTTTACCCTATGTACTGAGCAAACACCACAATGATACTCCAGTTAATTAAGGACGCCGAGTAAATATGCTTTCTAACAGATGTGCGCGGAATATTTCATTACCTCTCATTTGTTGGACAGCCGCCTCTTTTTATCGATTCTTCGAGTTTGCTTTGTTATACGAGGGAATTGGTTTGAGAAAGGTGATTTGGTAATGAACTGGGGGTTCTTGTGTTTGGATTGGAATGTAGCTTTCTGGTTGAGGTTGTTGGAATAAAGACGTGTCAATTCGATTTATTTTGTGTCTATAAAGATTAAGTTTGTAAAATTTCGATTATGATGTATGAAGTATACATTATAAGTCCGCCAGGTTCACATTGTCAGTCAGTTAAACATATAATCAACTAACTACGACATATTCCAAAAGATTAAGACAAAAATATCTATAATTCTTAAGCTTACACTCTTTACATACAAAAAAATCTGAAAAGTGTAACAGCATCTAAAAATTGTTACTAACCTGCACAATCATATGATCCAGTTCAGCCAAGGTCCGCAGCAGATGGGCAGTGCGAGCAGCCTTGACGAATCCACCACTATGTTCCAATCCTGCTCCTTGGGCGAACAGCATACAGAACTCTGCACGGGAGCCAGCGATACCAGTGCCGAGAGCACAGCGGAGAGACTGGGCCGCGACTATACGTTCGGAACCCTGCGAGTAAAGAGGTTTGTAGTGAAAGGTGATCTAATATTTCTAGTTATTTAATTTAAAAGCCTAGTTAAAATGGTTTCTTAGACATAGACGGGGCCAGAAGTTAGATATAAAAATTTAAGGATTTTATGTGTTTAACATAACAATTTTTATGTCTTCTAAAATACCAAATACAGGCTTAATAATACAAAATTAAAATCTATATAAAGTTGTACTTACAGCATCAACCTCGCAGGGATGGCAGAGATCTGCGCAGACAGTCAGCAGGGTCTGAATGCTCTCCCGCGCGGCACCTGCCTTCTCCGCGCGAGTAATACACCCGGTCAGGCAGAGGTAGCTGGAACAAAGTGTATGAGTAAGTTTGGGTATAGCTTTTTATCAAACGGACAAACGAGCAAAATTAGTGATCAGCGCCGCCTATGGCCAGAGGACACATGAACGATCAATGCAGTTTCACTCGAGTAAAATATAGGTTAGGTAGTAATAATTGGTTTTAATCCGAACAGTTCGATCCCTGAATACATAGTGAGTTCTTCCATTCGAAATACATTATAATTATACTTTTGATGTCGGTAGACAGCAAAAGTCAAAAAGCAAAAAACGAAGTATAATTATCACAAGTAATGTTACCAGAATTAAATTTAGTATTATAAAGCTAACGGACACAAGAGCGTATGTAAGCAAGACGTCAAGGACATGTAAAGAATCTTGAAGCCAAAACGTCATATTACCCAAAATTGTATGCGAATAACATTTCCAACTATATGTATTTGTAATAAAGTTGAAAACGCATAAAAAATATATAGATCCTTCAGATGTATCACTACTTTTACTAGAAGAATGATGAGATAGATCATCTTCAGTAATTACTTTTTACATCAACACATTTACAGAGGCAGACATAATTTTGGTACTATTTTAAGTAGAAAATTATTCTCATCTTTAATCCAATGTACCTACCGTTTCTGTCACATCAGTCCACCATTTTGTTTTAACGCCACCTACCGTCAATTTACATAATCACCACACGTTGGTTAAGCCGTTAAATCCGTATGAAAGACCAACATTGTATGTTTTGTGTTACAAGAACAACAATAACAGTGTGTGTTGTTGGTCAGTTACTGCTTTAGGCGGTACATGAATGTTGTGTTAGGATTCCAACATGGCGCCTGGTTTGTGTGATTAAGGTAAAGAGTTTGAGATTGGCTGGCTTGTTGATGTGTCTGGATGAGTCTGGATATGAACTGTGTAAGGGAATTAATGGGACTTGCTGTCTGTTTTATCAAAGGTCTTTAGTTTAGTGGACGTAAGTTTCAATTTGTTGGCGATGCCTTGTTGCATTCACCTTAAATATGCCTTATGTTATTTCAACTAAGTAGGTACCTAAAGCACCTATAATTGAAAAAAAAATACTTCTTTATTATGTTCATATTGGGAACTACATTTTGCTGAAAGTCAAAGTTAATCATTTATTTCAATTAGACGAGAAAGACACTTTTGAACGTAAACAAAAAAATTAAATGTGAAGCTATTTATTCATTCCAAAGTGTAGATTCCTATGGAGAAGAACGAGCAAGAAACTATATAGGTTACTCTTTTTCAATCAGGTTCACAATACACTGAAAGAACGTAAAACATTCACAACGTTAGATTCCCTAATAAACGAATTCCTAGGCAGTCCAGCTAACAGTTCAATCAATAGATTAAATTATTCTTTGCAAAAAGCACGCTTATTACTTTATCCAATATTGGTTTTTAAAAATCATTTCACGGCTGTGTACCCCCAACTAAAAGGGGGAAAATTATAAAAAATCTCGTTTTGCTAGCAAGCATCTTCGTTGGTGTACATCCAATTATAAGTAGCGTCAATATTTGCTACGCTTGTAACCGCTTCAAGCGATGCTCAAACTTTACAAGTATATTGTAAAACAATATTTAACAATCTACGTGGTGTGTATTTAGTTTGCCTCCGTGATAATGGTACTTAAAGTAAAGACAATTATTAACCTTACTATTTCAGTAGTTGTTGTTAGAGATATTAAGGGACTAAGATCTAGTAGGAGCGCTTTCTAATAAATCCGAACATTTACCATTTGAATACCGTCATTATAGACACAATTAAAGAACAATAGGTTGCGGTCACCAGTGTCCTCGAGGTGTTTGACAGTTTAAACTGCATTCCCCAACCTACTAAATTATGGACATTATGGCTAACTCTTGTGAAGCGGAGATTGTTTAAAATAGGCCTCTCCCAATAAAATAACAAGCCCCCAAACTCGACAGTACTAAAATCTTGACCCCTATAATGTAAAATCGACGAAAAAGTTTGAGAAAGTCTGTCGTAATTGAATCTCGGGAGTAACCGGTAAGTTTGGTTTGAACTCGCGGATTTTGTGACTACGGATTTAATCTTCGATGTAAGCGGTTTCAAAATTGGTTATCTGGAGTCCAGATATTGAGGTGCATTGCTTTAATAATGAAGAGAGTCCGTCATAATCAGGCGATTCTTTTTGTCCCAGAAATAGCACTAGAACCAAACATGCCTTGACTGAAAAAGATTAAAAGTATTGCAATATGTTTACTACTAACGTCGGCATCATAATTATTTATTATAGCCATTTAAGGTTTCTGTTACTGTATGTATGTATTTTTTACCGTATAAAATTGACCACGACAAATCAATATAATTTTATAGCAGGCACAAAACGAACAAACAATTTTCCGTTCCAGAAAAACCAATAAAAAATATAACGATAAAAAGATGGCGCCGTTGGTACGTCAGGAATTTAAAATTTGGAATCCGAGCAACGCCCCGTGATTGGTTACTCACGCGCAACGATATATTTTATACCATTTGTTTTTTATAGTTCAAAAAGGGTATCTTAAACCTTAAGGTGAAGAAATAAGGGTCCATGTGGGTGTATATTAGTCAGTCTGGTTGTAAACTTTTTGATAATGTCAGACCTCCTTGTAGAGACGGGTTAAGATAATGTAATCTTAAATATTTGTGAGACTTAAAAGGTCACATTTTTAAGGATGGCTGTATGGTAAATGACCAGAGATTGATGGCAGCAAAACTGGATTGAAAAAATAAAACTAAAGGATGTCTTCGACCTCGTAAGTACGTTTTGTGACACAAAGATATTTGGCAGAAGATGAGAACTTAAAATTTACGGCTGATATTAATAAACAATCTTAATCCGGAACTTTTTATATTGGTTCTGTTGAATATTTGTCATTAACCTAGACCAATCTAGAGATTGTAGACTTCGACATTAGATTTACTACTAGCGGTAGAAGAAGTGCGTTTTGCAACAGTTAAAATTGAAACCGGTTCATTCTCTTGTGCAATAGTGACAAAAGAAGATTACGTGAAGGGAATTTTTAAGAAAGCTTTATATCGATCCAAATATTTGTTAGTAAATCATGTCAAAGTCAAAGCATTTATTTCAATTAATCCTTAAACTGTCAAACACCGCGAGGAAATCGGTGACCGCAACCTATTGTTCTTTAATTGTGTCTATAATGACGGTACACAAAGGGTTAATTAGGCATTTTTGAAACTTCAAAAATTGAATTGTCCGTCCATCCGTCTGTCAGTGAAGCTAGGCGCATGTTACATACAAAGTTTACAAATCCCCAACTACATATCAATACCAACAATCATCAAAATTGCCACAGCAATTTAAGTCTAAAAGCACAACAAATCACTCACATTTGCGGAACTAACATAAGTTATGATTTCAACATGATTAACAGTCCACATTTGGACATTAATTTCAATAAAAACAAAATTCTATCGTGATCCATTAACATATTATGCCGATTATGCGCCATATGTCCAACCTCCTTTTATTTAGTTTTGGCAGGATCTTAGAGACAAGTGACGTAATATAAATAGCACCATCCGAATCCCAACTAACGTTAAAAATACGAGAACAAGTTTGTCTGTCACTCGTTGATGAATAAGGCCTACTTCACGTTGCGTCATTTGACAAATGCATGGATTTAACGTCGCCGCTCTGTGGACAGTTTTCAGTATTTCTAGGCAAGATGCAAGCATTTGTTATTTGTTAACCGCCTATTTTTTGTGAAAGATGCATGTATTCGTCAAATAACAGTTACGTAGACAGTTACCTGAGGCTAAATTTTAAACAATTCTCAATTCCCAAATTCTCAATATCAACAATACCCTTCCGTATCTACTCTGGTGTTAAAATTGTCCATGGGCGGCGCCAATTGCTTACCGGTGGTCTATCGGTGTGGTTATTTACCCACCTAATCCATATAATAAAAAACTGAAACATGCTTCTTGAAGCTTGGTATATTCGTATGTAGATGGGAGTACAGGGAGAAAGGCATAAGTTAAATTCACACAAGCAAAGCTGCGGGTAAATTGGTATAGTGCTCTAAATGTGATGGATGCGAGATTTCAACGCGTATGATATAATGACATTTCACCGTTCACTACACACGCGAACTTCCATGTTATTTTCATGTGATGTATACAGGTTGATGTTTTTGCGACAACAAAGTTTGTAATTGAATTTGTACTGTTATTAAATTATTTTTATAAAAAACACGTGTATCGTATAACCATAGTGTTACATGTTTGTCACAAGCTAATTTGATTGTATACTATAATGAAATACATTGGCCAATTTCTATTTACTGGTAAATAAAGTATTAGTGTTCAATCCTTTCAGGTTCTTAATTAGATATAGTTTTAAAAAAGCCTAATTAAACAATTGCTTAATTAATCAGAAAACAAATGGAAACATTTTAAACAACATCCTGTGTAACGTCTCAGCGCCGGCGCCATGATTCATTGCCTCCGCCGGCCAATCACGGCGCGTTCTAAATTCAAACGCGCTAATGGAAGGCGAGCATCCAAGAGGCGCCTGTGCATCTATCCGGATCAGTGTTGCCAGGTGGCCGAGGATTTTATACGTTCAGAATTTATTTCGAAAGCCGGAAGTTTCCGTAAGGAAATATTTTATTAGTACTTTGGAAACTACATGTTTATAATTTACGATAAATAATGGAATCTTAAATTCGGTGTGTTTCAAACAATTTAACCTACAATAAGCTGCTAGCTAAAGAAGTTTTTCTTAATTAATTTACACCCAAATACTTGATATTATTCAAATAACAAAAATATAGTACAAAATATCATATAACCACGATTACCTATAAAACAAAACCACATCACAACAACTGGCAACACCAAAAGAAAGCACTCACCTAAGAAAAATTTATGGCTCGTTTAAAATGTTTTCGTTCTTAATTTCAGTTAGATAAACGACTCAGGCGCATTTCGGCGCCTTTTACAAGGTG